AATGTAAATATCTGTGTAAATTTCTGATGGTCTTAGTGACCCCTGTGAAAAGGTTGTTCAATCCTCTACCCAAGGGGTCATGACTCACAAGTTGAGAATCACTGGACTAGAGTGCCAAGAAAGAAGCAATGATCACTAGGCACAAGGCCATCTCTAATCTGGGACACTTGATCAGATCCCAATGACCCGTGGAGTAAGAACAAGAAAAACCTGACACTTCCCATTGATTTTAATCAAAATAGTGAATTAAGTATATCAGGCTCACATCTGCCAGGAACAGATGCTCATTAGGATGAAAGTCAAGAAGATTATGCAGGGCAGATAACATACCCTACATTACTCAGGCCCTATCTTTGGAAGATTTTTGCTCTTCAAGTAATTAACAGGAAGCTGTCCCATGCCAGGATTTCTCATTTCACTTCTCTGAGGCCTCAAACACATTGAAACCTATTATAAGCTTAAGAACCTTTGGGGAGATACTCCCTATCTGAACTCAAGTAAAATGGCTCAGAAGAGAGAAGAGTTAAGCACATCAGCTTTAAACTCCCAAATCTATTTCTCATGGTGCTATGCTGGGCAAAACTTCTCTGCGGGGTAGAAATGCTAACACCAACACTTACTTCACAGTGTGGAACAATCATTTACAGAGACAGTGTACGGGAGAGTACTAAGGACTGCACACAGTGTGTAGCTTCATTTCAGTCCTGTCTGCTAAAAAGACTTTCTAGACTGCTACGTGCCCCACCCCATATACATGTTAGAGATGCCACAGCACTTAAGTGTATGCATAGTTCTTTAAATACGGGTCCAGAATCTGTACTGCCATGAGCTGACCAGTAGAGACCTACAGAATTGTGGAGACTGCAAACAAAAAGATAAAAGAGAAGAGATGAAGATTAACAAACTGATGCCTGCAATTGACACTTGGTTGCAAGAACTTCATTTTTCTATGATCACTCCCAGGCTCTGGTGTGAGAACATAAATTGAAAGGATCTTAATTTTCCACCAATCTCCTTTTATTGACGTTTCAGAATAGCTCTGCTGCTAGCCCACTGGAGACTCATTTGCCACCACAGTAATGACCACAACGTCTAAAACTGCAGTTGTGTGCTTGCGTTGTCCCTCTATATCTGCCAAATTTGCATACTTCCACATTGCAAAAACCCACTTATATCATACAGAGATTCTACTTATGTTTGGAACCAAGAACTGAGAGCACTTTAAGGTATGATCTACCATAAAGACTCCAAGACAGAGGAGGGCAGGGATTCTGTCTCTTTTGTTTGAGGCTAGCCTGTTGAAGGGTATTTGGTAACACTGTGATCCCTGAGATTGTGTACTTGAAAAACCTGTTTCTAGTTGTGATGTGGGTCAATCCTAGCACATATCTTTAATCCAAGAACATTCTGTTTATTGTAAACAGGTGCTTGTGGTTAGGCTCAGCCCTAGCACACACCTTTAACCCAAAAGCTTTCTGTAAGCAAGAATTAAATAAAGCCAATGAGGGTCAAGAGACAGAGCAAGCAACCAGTTGATAGGAAGTGAACATACGCAAACACAGGAAGAAGGGACAGTGAGTTGAAGGGTATTTATGACAGCCATGGAGAAGGTGAAGGGTTTTTTCCTTCTGGTGTTTTCTCTGCCTTTCTGAGCTAGTAGGCTTTCACTCCTGCATCTGGCTGCTGAGTCTTTATTGGTAAAATCAAGCAACTGGGACTTTGTTTTTAAAAACAACACTAGCCCAGAACACTGACTAGACCGTAACAACTACAGAACAAGTATTTGCAAGATGTAACTGTTCTGGGATCTGTAACAAGATTGGCACAATCTTGTTCCAATCATATAAGGGAATGTAGCTTTACACAAAAATTGGGAATGTTTACTGTTAAAAAGACCAATTTCTCTTGGACTCTGATGGTCATTATTAGAACACCTCAATTTACACTATCACAAGTAAACTTAATAAAAAGCAAAACATCTATATCCAGGAGAATAAGAAGGTTCAGAGAAAAAGCTACTCTTACACAGTAAGATTTCCCTCAGCAAGCACCACTCAATATAAAGCTTTGTTCATGCCTAAAAACCATTTAAAACAGAAGTGATTAAGAAAAATTCTGAAGGTCAGGAAAAGCTTCCTGAAATCCCTTTCTGTCTTCTACTTTAACATCTTGGAAAAGGAAATCTATGTTGATGCCTTTTAAATTGAGGTCTTTTTAAATAACTGTGGGGCAGTAGACTAGGAAATGGTTTGGAGGGTTAAGTCTTAAGTTCACTGCCTGGGTTCAGACCCTGGCTCCTCTACTCTCTAGCTATATAGCTAAGGCCTGTCCAGAGGACCAGTATTTTCTCCACTGTTCATTATACAATTCCAGTTGTCTCAGAACAAGTTAAGGACTGAAACATCTTTACTAACGTATTTAAAATGCTTCGTAGCACATAATAAGTAAGAACAATTGGGGTTTTGCTGCTGTTACTATTAATGCTACAATTTTCTCAAGAAAAACTGATGTAACTGTTAACAGAATATGGAGGGACATCCAAATATCTACACACAATAACTGCTTCACAGGAAATCCCAACAGGCATGCCAACATTGATATTGAGAAAATGAATATTAATGATGAATAGAAAAAATTACTAACTCAGGCATGAGGTTCTAGAAGTCTAAGTTTTCTTCTCTTGGTAGAATTTACCATCATTTGACTGATACATTTTCTCAGTAGATGTCATACTATAAAATGTTAGAACATACTCCATATAGTCAAAGGCATCTGTAAGGACAATCATGCCTGTAGGTGTCAGGTCACTGGTCAGAAAGTAGAAATGAAAAGTAAAGAAACAGAATCATTGGAGCAAAGGAAGAAAAGAAATAAACTATGTAAGTGTTATAAAAAAAAAAGCTTGATGTCAAGGAAACAGATTTTGCTGGCAGCAGAAGAGCAAGATGTGGAGTGGTGGAGACAGATGTCTGGAACAAAGAAGGGGGAAGGGTAGCTCTTTGGTTTCACTGCCTGGCAGCAAGTGGTTATCTTTCACAAGCCTTCAGGCAAGCCACATGCAAGGAGAGGCACAGATCCACTGTTTAACAACTAAGGCCAGAGCCCTCTTCCAACAGCTATCTGGAGATTGGAATAATCAGCTCACCTGCCAGGTCAGGGCCAATCAAGTCCAAGTGTCTGGCAGAGAAACTCCTGAGGACTGTCAAATTCTAGGTCAAGGGGAAAACCAGATTCCATGGCCTGCTAGCTGTCACAACAGCACTGTAAAAATACTAAAAAAAGCTGGGCATGGTGGTTTGGGCCTTTATTCCCAGCCTTGGAAGGCAGAAGTAGGCAGATCTTTGAGTTCAAGGCAAACCTGGTCTCCACTCTAAGCCAGTTGAAAATAGATAGTGAGGCTTTGTCTCAAAACAAAACAAAATATATGGATTTGGGGTACACACCTTTTTTTTTTTTTTTTAAGATTTTACTTTTATTTACTGTGTATACAGTGTTCTGCCGCATGTGTGCCTGCACACCAGAAGACAACACCAGATCTCATTGCAAATGGTTGGGAGCCACCATATGGTTGCTGAGACTTGAGCTCAGGACCTCTGGAAGAGCAGCCAGTGCTCTTAACCTCTGAGCCATCTCTCCAGCCCCCCATACCTTTTATAACTTTCATCTCAACACATGGGAGTCTGAGGCCAGCCTGGTCTACACAGCAAATTCCAGACCTGAGGTACATAGTGAGACTATGTTGCATTTAAAAAAAAAAAAGGAATGAGAGAGAGGGTGAGAGAGAGAGTATGACAGAGAGAGAAAGAGAGAGAAAGCTAACAGCATAAAACATTTGTCACAGCCTGCCATCTTTGTACCTGTTGCCTTTCTGCTTTTAACCATCACATAGCTCAGGTTTTCCAAAACAGAATGTCATTTAAAATTTTCTAATAAAGACTCTTAAAAGCAGTGGTGGTGAATGTCTTTAATCCTAGCACTTGGGAGGCAGAGGCAGGCAGATCTTAGAGTTTGAGGCCAGCCTGGTCTACAGAGTGAGCTTCAGGACAGCCAAAGCTACATAGAGAAACCCTGTCTTGAAAAACAAACAAAAGACCCTCTTATATCATTTTGTATCTTTTCAGACAGAATTTTGTAAGTTGGCAGTAAAAGTGATGGAAAGGGGGCAGAGAATGTAATGAGGAAACAATCTTCATCACAAAAAAATGGGTTTGTGCTTTGTTCCCTTTTCTAGAGACTGTCCAGAAGGAGCTGTATAGAACATGTCCTAGAACTTGGTCACATCACGCTTCAAAGCCCTAAAACATGGGTCACTTAAGCAAGTCACTTATCATAAACCACCTCAGCAGTGTTTGCCCAGCCTATTTTCTACCATGTGGAGTTCTGAGCTGCCTCCACAAGATTCTTCCCTCCTCCTTCCTCATACTGCCTGGAATCTCCGTGCACTGGCAGAAGCAAAGGGGTAGAGAGGTGTGCATCAAGCCATTAATTAAAATCACAGGACCTAGCTCATGAACATCTTACCAACTGAACCATGAACAAGATACCTTTATCATCCAATTAAAGCATAGCCAAGATTTAATTACCTATATTAAGAAACAAATGGTTTTAATTTTTTTCCTTCCCTCCTTCCCTCCCTCCTTTCTTCTTCTTCTTCTTCTTCTTCTTCTTCTTCTTCTTCTTCTTCT